TTCGTAAAGCGGATTTGAAGATGGAATAGCGCGATTCTTCATCAGGGAGAGGAATGTAAATTAACTGGTCGAGTCGACCGGGTCTCAAAAGCGCCGGGTCGATTATATCTGGTCGGTTCGTCGCACCGATTATGAAAACCGTCTTTTTCGCCGACATCCCGTCCATTTCGGTCAACAGTTGGTTCAAAACCCGATCCGCTGCACCTCCCGCATCTCCTTGACTACTTCCTCTCTGAAAAAACAATAAACTTGTCAAATAGGAAAATGGCAAAAACGTAAATAGTAAGTAATTTGTTTGTTGTTAAACCTGGGTGGCAATGGAGTCGAGTTCATCGAAGAAGAGAACACAAGGGGCGGACCCACGCGCTTTATCGAATATCTCGCGTACATTCGCTTCACTTTCACCGAACCACATTGTGAGTAGTTCTGGTCCCTTGATGCTGATGAAGTTTGCTTGGCATTCGTTTGCAATGGCTTTCGCGAGAAGTGTTTTCCCACACCCTGGTGGGCCATAGAAGAGGACTCCCTTTGATGGTGACATTCCAAATTTTTCAAATTTCTCCGGGTGTTCAACCGGATATTGAACAGTCTCTTGGAGCTCACGTTTGACATTCTCAAGCCCTCCGATATCTTCCCAACTAACATTAGGCACTTCCACAACAGTCTCACGAAGAGCAGAAGGATTACTTGTCCCAAGTGCAGTTGCAAAGTGCTCATTCGTTACAGCCATGGAGTTCAAAATCTCCGCATCAATCGACTCGTCTTCCAAATCAATCACATCCATCTTCTCTCTAATACACTGAAGCGCAGCTTCAGTACACAAAGCCGCCAGGTCAGCACCCACATACCCATGTGTCTCTTTCGAAATCTTCTCCAAGTCAACATCTTCAGCCAATTTCATATTCTTGGTATGAATACGAAGAACTTCAAGTCTCCCAATCTCATCAGGGACACCAATGTCAATTTCCCGGTCAAACCTCCCGAATCTTCTCAACGCAGGGTCAATGCTATTAGGACGATTAGTAGCACCCATGACAATAACATGAGCACGCGATTTCAACCCGTCCATTAATGTCAACAACTGTGAAACAATCCTCCTTTCAACTTCACCGTGTGTCTTCTCACGCTTAGGGGCAATTGAGTCAATTTCATCGATGAAGATAATCGATGGAGCGTTCTTTTCAGCTTCTTCAAAAGCTTTCCTTAAATTACTCTCGCTTTCTCCCGCCAATTTCGACATGATTTCGGGCCCGTTGATGCAGAAAAAGAAAGCCCCGGTTTCGTTAGCAACTGCCCGAGCTATTAAAGTCTTCCCGGACCCGGGGGGCCCGTATAGTAAAATACCCTTTGGGGGTTTGACCCCGATTGACTTAAAAAGCTGTGGGTGTCTCAATGGAAGCTCAACTAGCTCACGGATTTGTGCCATTTGTTTGCGGACCCCACCGACATCATCATAACCGATTTCATCTAACCGATCTTCATCTTCTCTTCTCACGGGTTCACCTTCACAGAAGATTTCAGTATCGGGTGCTACTACACAATACTCTGGTGGATCGGTTTCTATGACTTTGAACTCTACACTTCTCATTCCTCCCCTTACAAGAAAGAAGTCACCCTTTCTCACTGGTCTATATGCCTCCATGAAGTAAGCTGCAAACAGTGTAAATTATATCATGTATGATGTGAGTTGGGTACATTGAATGGATTATGTTGTAAAGACTAAAGAAAGTTGTGTGATTTTGGATGAAGAAACTTACGTTTTAGATAAGCATCGAAGAGATTTCCTGTAACGCCTTCGATTGTGTCATCAATTGGAAGAATGTGAACACGTTTCCCGTATTTCACATCAGCACATTGATGAACTGAGACTACATCACCAAGTCTGACTCTGAGATTTGCTCTGACTACCTTATTCATCCTGATCTTTGGTTCTTCACAAGTGTCATCAGCAAGAGCTATACAGATTGTGTCTTTCCTTTTCTTTCCCTGTAGATGGAAACAGATAACTTAAGAATCTTGATATATATATAGCATACTAGTTTAATTATGTATAAAACTAGAATTATAAAGGAAACAATAGCAAGAACATGTTTCAAAATCATATATGCTTGTTAATATGGAACTTTAACACAGGATACCCATCTTTATGTGTACCAATGATTCAGGATACACCACTGGGCATATAAACGTAATCTAGCACTAGCAGTAATGAAATCGATCTTCCAAGTAATAAAGCGATCTAGTTTCACGAATCCAGAGAGATTTTACCAGGTTTTTAGTATCAATGGATGTTTAAACAACGGAATCAAGTAAATTTGGCATAGAATACTATGATCATATGATTAGATCGTGAAATCTCCTTGAAATTTAATTATAAGTTCGCAGACGGAAAACCTTCATTGAGAGACTAAATGCATAGTTACATACTAGTCTAAAACCCTAACTTAGCACAAAACGAAGATCAATTACGATACATTAGGCAAAACAACGATAACCATAAGTACGAAATAAACTACCTTGATCAAGATCGTGTCGCCTCTGAATAACTGAAGCTTTTCCATGGTCTCTGGATGTAAGGCAACAACAGAATTATCGTCGTTAATTGCTTCATCGACAACGAGTCTGTTAGCAGCCTTCTTCCGCTCCAGAATCGCCGTACTGAAGTCCCGCTTTGTCCCCTTACTACACACAACCACAATGAAAGTTAGAACTTGAGATCAATATCAAAATCGTCATCAAGAATGGGAAACAGCCATACTCTGGAACTCATATAGCATTATTGCCAGCATTAAATTAGAGATTTAGAGAAAACTGTGACTTACGCATCGGATGATTCTGCTTGATTACTCATGTTGTTGAAGAAGATTGGTTGATTGTAAATTCCGATTGACAGAATTGTGAATTTTTGGGATGTGTGAGGGTTTGGGTGGGGGGTACTTAAGCATATATGGTGAATTTGTGAAAGCGCAGGACTCCTTTCTTGTTAAGAAAGAAATGTTTTTTTTATTTATTTAATAACAATTTATAATTTTATTAACCGTATAAAAGGATGATTATGAGTCATGATACTTTTTACCATTTAAATTTAAAACTTTTCTTGCATTATCAACGTTATGATATTATGATAATTTAAATGTTTTAATAGGATTATAACATTTAGCAAATCTAGAATGTTCCGTATTTTGATGGGTAGCAAAATATAAAATCCGAAAATTAGAATCTCTAGAATGTTATATCTAGAATGTGCGATACGTCGACTGAAAATATTGCAAATATCAATTCAAAAAGAGTTTAGCTATGCGTTTTAATAATAACTACTTGGCCTTTAACTTCTTTTGCACAGCTTCTCTAGCCTTGTTTTGTTTGGTTGTGGGGATGGTAATAATATAAAAGATAAAATGGATAGTTAGGCTTGAGAGAGTGGCCACGTCACCTCTCTCTTGCCAAAACACTCCTACCCATTTTTACACCACCCCTAAGAGTGGTTAAGGGTCTAAAAGTGGGTAAATTTGATTTAGAAGGAAGGAGAATAAAAGGGTTTATATATATATATATATATATATATCTATATATATATATATATCTATATATATGATATATATATATATATATATATATATATATCTATATAGGGGATGGTAATAATATAAAAGACTAAAATGGATAGTTAGGCTTGAGCGAGTGGCCACGTCACCTCTCTCTGCCAAACACTCCTACCCATTTTTACACCACCCCTAAGAGTCGTTAAGGGTCTAGAAGTGGGTAAATTTGATTTAGAAGGAAGGAGAATAAAAGGGTTTATATATATATATATATATATATATATATATATATTACTTATAAAAAAAATCTTACATTTCTAAAATAGATTTGAATATAATAATATTATTTTTTTTAAGACGTGCAAACATTTTAAGACGTGCAAACCCTATTGAATTAATTGTGTATATATATATATATATATATATATATATATATATATATATATATATATATTTGAATTGTTTGCTGATATTTGTTATATCAAATAGTACATTGAGAATAGGGATCGAATAAAAAAAGCAGTGAAAATGAGAAAGGTGTCCATGTCCTCTTCATGCACTCCACTAAAAGACAAATTTTTTCATCAAAATTCAAAACCAAGAAAATATGCACACATATCATATCTTAATGAAAAAACAACCCTTTAATGTCAAATCCAAATTTGATATTTAACCTAACTCACAACTATAGAGGCTTTTAATTCCATCTATCTAGCCCGGAAATAATTGAATGGGTAAAACATTATAGATGTTGCTTCCATAATATCTTCCATTACCACAAATTCACTATCTGGTAAAAACAGAAGATAGTAATAGTTAAAGGTAGGTCTTGCAGTTCATCTGCCATAAACAATTGATTAGACCAAAAATTAGATAACCACTCCACTAAATACAACACCAAAAGTCGGTAACGAAGAAAATAGATCTGCAATACAAAAGTATTAGTGAAGTCTAACGAACAATTAAAGATGATGGAGTTTATACAACAAATGTGGTGTATAAAGAAGTGTTGCACGATTAATAATGTATAACCAGTCATGTGCTATTACACATTTTCATATTTGATGTATTTTTATATACACACAATTGATACATCAAATAACTGATAAAGAGAAACCGGTCAAGGTGGCACAAAATATGAAATGTTTAAGCCGTTCAAACAACATTAATGTACTATTTTATATAACAAATATCAGCAAACAATTCAAATATATATATATATATATATATATATATATATATACAATTAATTCAATAGGGTTTAAAAAAATTACCTGTTTCTCTAGTTCCTCTAATACATCTTCAAAAAGATCTTTTGGGGTGGCACCTGAGTTTGATGACACTGCTAAATATGCAGGTAATTCTTTTACCTATAACACAACATTAATCTTAATGTCTTTTTTTATTTAAAAAAAAAAGATAAAAACTTTATTGACTTACTTTATTGCAATATTCACGTCAGTGAGATTTTGAAGTCAGCATTCCAGAAGCAATATGCCATTCCATCAACTTGCGAAATCCATCACCATTTTTTCGCTCTGTTTTTCTTATTTCTTCCTGTATATATATAAAAAAAATAATCACAAAAAAAAATTAAGGATTATTATTCATTAGTGAAATTTAATTTTATACCATTCGTAGTTTCCTTTGCTCTTCCTCATCCTTCTCTAAATCATGTATATATTCCTGAAACATAACGAATAATGTAATAAAATGAAATGATTCTTTTTTTATATTAAAAAAAAAGTTTAAAAGAAATATTTGAAAATTTTCTAAGTGATTGACTTTTTCAAGGCGCAAACAACTTTCATCAGCTTCTAAATGATCTTGCACTTTTCTCTATTGACTACTTGCCTAAATATATAAATTTAAATTTTAAATAAAAAAAGGAATAAATTAAAAAAAGAAAATATATTTTTTAAATACCGTAAGAAAGTCACAAGATTTCAGAAATTCAATGTATTCCTTTTTGTTTTTCTTGTACTCCTCTAAATCCTTAGACTTTTCCTGAGAATAAATTTTAATTTTTCATGTCATATGCATATTTAACATACATATATACAATTATATAATATAAATAAATAACGAAGAATCAAAGAATTTTTGACCAATTGACCTTTTTCTCAAGTTCCATTATATGATCCTCAAATAACTCCTCACGCTCTTTCAATCTTTCAACAGCTTTGAAACGATCATCATCCTCAAAGATTGCAATTGCTTTGCTACATCAAAGTTTCAATCAAAAGTATAATAATAATAATAATAATAATAATAATAATAATAATAATTGTTTATAATGAATATTATATCATTTAACATTTACCTCCATTTAGTGGTATAAGTAATCTCTTTAGTTTCCTGTGAATAATTTCATAAAAACAAGAATAAAATAATTTCATAGATAGAAACAAAACAAGACAGACAATGATATAGTTGACTTACATCTAACATTTTTTAAAACTCCTCACGTGCCTTTTTCTGTTTATTCCTCCTCTCTTCTGCTTCATGTTTTTTCTTTTGTCCAAAAAACTGAAACATTAAATCAAAAATATATATTAGACAAGTTTTAGTTTTACTTTACCAATTAAAAATGGCAAACATTATTTTAAAATTAAAATCACCTCATTGAAAGCCTGCTTTCGTTCTGAAAGTGATCTAAGAGCACTATATCTTCTGTCATTTATAATTACTCTCATTGCCTAATACAACAACTAAAAATGTTTAAAAAAAACATCTGAAACACAAAATCTAATTTTTAACAAGCAGTCAACAAATACCTGATCCCATGTCCAATCAGAAGCTACATTTGCATTTTCCAAAAGAGCCTTGAATGCATTCTTTCCTTCCTGAAACAAAAATGTAAGACACATATAACAAATAAACATATGACTAATATTTTTGAGTAAAAGTAAACAAATAAATAATTAATTAAATACCTGTTTGGTTTCATAAACTTGAGTTTCTTGATCAACTGTTTTTTATTCTAAGTTAGTTACACTGCTCTTTTCAGGTTCCTGTAAATCATAAAAAAAACTATATCGAACAAAATACTCATAACTAACAACAATTGTAAAAAATAAAAAAAGTTACCTCTAAGTTACCAATAGGAGTTCCATTTTCAGCATCTTTCACTGAAACATCCTCAGTGTTATTATACAATGATGTGGCAACATCCTCAGTGTTATTAGGGTTCAAATGTGTGTTGTTGGGGGTAGCGGTGATCGTGAATGGTGGTGGCGAGGACAATGAATGATGTGCAGGTGCCGATGGTAGGATGCGGCTGACCCTAACATCTGTTGCTTAAAATCAAAACAGGAAATCAGAAAGAGAAAAAAAGGAAAAGACTCAAACTGCTCGAAAAAAGAAGAGATAGAGAAAATGGGGTTTACCTAAAATCAAGTATATTCTGAATAATTTAGAGGGAAGATGCAAATTGAGGAAGTCGTCGTCGGGTGGAGATAAGGAGGAGGGGTGGTGACGATGATTGCTAGGGTCTAACTGGAAGCAAATCACTCTAACTATCATCCTTATAACATTTCAATCTGAAAAGCAGCATGGAAAAGTTGGTAATGGTAATATTGTAATCTCCTTATAAAAATTGCGTATTTTGTGTGTGTATGTGTGTGTGTGAGAGAGTGAGAGAGAGAGAGAGAGAGAGAGAGAGAGTTGGAGACCTGCAAGATTTATACCGAAGGATGACACTTCTTTAAGGTTTTCAACCATGTTTCTGTAGCTTTACCAAGATTCAGACCTGCAAGAGGACATTTCCACAAACAGTTGTTGGGCATGCCTAAAGGGGTACGAATCACAGTGACCAAAAAACTCCCAAGAGTCAATTTGCTACCTGTCTCTCCTTTTCACCCCCCACTCTTTCTTTTATATGAATCACAACCACCAAGAAGCTTGCAGCACACCCACCCCTTTTTGATCAAGCACCAGGTATGATGCGAAGAAAAAAAATACAACCTAGGAACAAGGTCGAGTCCTTGTTGTCTGTCTCTTCGTTTTTAGTAGCAAGAAGAATAAAGATGAATGTTTAGGGCTTTTCTCATTTGTTTGTTCCATATTTGAAATACTATGATCGATGAAAAAAACAATTAAATCAGATATAAATGAAGTAATCATCCCAAAATCCAAGCAATCTGATTCTGTTTTGATCGGGAAAAAGGGAATAGAGCCATGAGGATTAACTCACCACAAGTTATGAATTAGACTCTCGTTTCTTTGCTTATTATATCAGCGACTGTGCTTAATTAGACCGAGAGTGAGAAGGTGAGTCGTGAGGGAAAATTAGTGTTGCTTGGCGGTGATGTTTGAAATCAGCGTTTCTAATGGAAACCATATTAAGAGATCTGGACCGAGATACATGAGAAGGGCTCGACCTTATCGGTTTTCATTTCACCACGTAAACCTTTGAAACTTCAAATTTGAACTACATAATAGGCTAACACTTCCACAATATATATATATATATATATATATATATATATATATATATATATATATATATATATATTGGTTTAAGTATTCTTTTAAGACAATCATTATATGTTGTGGTTGAAATTTTAATGTAAATTAGATTAGATTCATATTATCGATCATATGTTATGGAATGTGATATAAATAGTATTTAATTAGATATTGTATATATGTTTGTATATGTGTGTTGTTTCAAAGAAATAATTAATTAAAAATCATGGACATGTCATATTATCCATATTATCCATGTAAGTCTCTTTTAAAATGCAAATTGTCTATATTATCACTTTATATTTTAGTATATGTTTAACATTTTAATTATAATAGTAAGTGTTTTTTAAAAGTTTTCTTTCACTTATTAATAATAATAAATGGTAAATTATAAAAATCATGGATATTTTATATTATCCATGAAAGTCTCTTTTGAAATGCAAATTGTCAATCTTATCACTTTATTATTTAGTATATGTTTTATATTTGAGTAATAATATTAAGTGTTTCTTAAAAGTCTTCTTTAAATTATTAATAATAATAAGTGGTTTAAAATTAATGAACAATAATTTTAAATGATAATAACATCAAGTTAAAAATTATGTAACGTTAGCTACAAATAAATTGTACTCTAAATGATCATCATTATTGAAATTAGAAAATAATCGCATAAGTAAAAAATTTAAATTAATCAATCATAACATTTTTTTACAAATAATACTAAATAGATATTTATATTTTAATTCTATTAATGAGGAAGGTGGGTTGATGTCAATGAATAATATTGTTCAAAATAGTTGAGATTATATATATATATAAATTAGTGTAAAAATATTATGTCAAAGTTAATGTCAATAAATAACCATTTTAAACATATATTTTTCAATATTTTAACAATATATTTTTAACTTGCGCCGTGCAACGCGTGAGAATTCGTCTAGTATATATATATTATATATATATATATATATATATATATATATATATATATATATATCTATATATATATATATATATAACATATATCAATGTGTGATATACTAAAATTACTGTTTTTTACCTATTTTATTTTGAGATTGCCTAAATTTGAGACTGCCTAAATGCAAAAACGTATAGCTTCATGCTTTGATTTTAGTTTTAGTCTCTTTGACTCAACTTCAATTTTAGTTTTAGTTTTGATCTCAAGGAATCCCTTCAAACAAGTTTATGTTTTTTACTCATTTTTTGACTAGATTTCTTTACCGTAGATGCATGCTTTAACTTACTCATCTTTCAAATAAGAATTACAAAAGGAATGTATAAAAACAATACTTAAACCTTAAGGGCCATAAACTTAAACCCAAACGGTATTGGAGGCCAGCAGGGGATGGTGCCAGGGCCTAGAAGAGGGAGAGAAAAAAAGAGGCAGACATGTTTTGTTGTTAGGGAAGGGTATCAATTGCAATTCTTTTCATTCAGACTCCTCTTCATCTCTTAATGATTCATATCAATTTTTGCCAAAAAAAAGTTTCAACCAAACACTCTGAATCTGAACGATTCAGAGCCAACCTCTTAATGGAATCATTTGGAGACAAAACAAACAACCCCTAAGTCCCTCCCATGTTCTTGGATCAAATATATCAACATGATTAATATTGACATTAACATCATCAATTTGATCTCCATCAACACCCACATTATCAAAATTAATATCATTATTGTTTTAATTATGAGAAAAAACTTGTGGTTGTCTTGTATAATAAACTATACATAGCCCACTTTGAGACTTTCATAATTATATATCTCTTTTTTTTTATAGGGAGAAATTCATATATGCCCTAAATAAAGAGCTAAATATCATATTTACCCTGTCTAATCTCAAAATATCATAGTCTAATCTCAAAATATCATATATACCATAAATAAACAACCAAAATATCATATTTGTCCAAAACCTTTTTTAAATATTTTTTAATCATTATCAGAAAAAATTGAACAAGATATGTAAGAAGAACTGGACATCTATGCCGGTAAGAAGAAATCAAATAACGACCACCTAAGTATGAACTATGTTGATATGAAGGTATAATCCAAGATCGATTTATTAATTACTTGATAAACACTAAATCAAAAGAGGAGAATACTTACTTGGAGGGATTGATATCTTCAATGGTGTTAAAGATGATGTCATATATGATTCTTTTCACTTTCCATAAACAAACACCTCGTAGGTGGAACATCTGTTTCAATGAGAAAATCAAGGAGTTTGGTTTCTTAAGGAATGGAGATGAACAATGTGTATATGTTAGATATAGTAGGACAATATTTGTCTTTCTTTTCTTATATGTCGAGGTCATTTTTGTTATAGGAAAGGACATTCCAACACTGAATAGTGTCAACGCTTGGCTTAGGAATAATTTCGTTATGAAGGACTTAGGAGAAGCTACTTACATACTTGGTATCAAGATCTTTAGGGATAGATCTAGGCGACTGATAGGACTTTGCCAAAATACATACTTGGATAAAATCCTGAAGAAATTTAAGATGGAAGACTCTAAGAAAGGATTTGTACCTATGCAATGTGATGCAGTATTGAGTAAAACTCAATGTCCCAGCACTAGTGAAGAACTAGACAGAATGAGTCGAGTCTCATATGTTTCGGCTATAGGATCGATCATGTACGTCATGATATGTACAAGGCCAAATGTCTTATACTCTATTAGTATGACAAGTCGTTATCAAGCCAATCCTGGTGAAAGTCATTAGATCACAATCAAGAACAATCAGAAGTACCTTAGGAGGACTAAATATATGTTCTTAGTCTATAGTGGTAAGGAAGAGCTAAGTGTTAAAGGATATGTGGATACAAGTTTCCAAACTAACAGAGATAATTTTCAATCTTAGTTGGGTTTTGTATTCATGTTAAATGGAGGAACAGTAACTTGGAGGAGTTCTAAGCAAGAGACTATATTCAACTCAACAACATAGTCAGAGTATATTGTGGTCAATGAAGAGGCCAAGTAGGCAATGTGGCTAAAGAAGTTTATCAACGATTTGGGTATTGTTCCAAGCATAGCTGAACCCTTTGAGATCTTCTGTGATAACGAGGGTGCGGTCGCTTTAGCTAAAGAACCTCGAGATCTCAAGCGCACAAGACATATACTCATCAAGTTCCATTATATAAGGAAGCTAGTTGAATATGGAGACATTATTATCAGTTATGTTCTGTCAGAACATAATCCTACTGATTCGATCAACAAACCATTGTCACAAATCAAGCATGATGCTCATACTACATCTATTATGTAACGCTTGCGTTTCTCGCTAGGCATTAATAAGATGTGTAATTGACTTTGGTCAACAATTGTAATCATTTGACGAATAAATAAAATGAAATTGTTTGAATCTATGTGATTTTTGTGCTTATATTATGTATATACAATATCAGGAGAAAACTTAATAAAATGGCTAAAAGAAATATTAAAATAAAATATTAATTAAGATAAATAGCCTTGGTGAAAGTTGAATTAGTCATAATGAGGACTCCAGGGTATAAGGAAGGAAAAAATCTGACTTCGTATGAAGAAGTTATGATCGTTTGAAGTTTCACGTTCAACTCGATGCGGCATCGAGCGTCATAAATAATGAATAAGAGATAGATTGCTTATTATCCTAAGTGATCAAAATAAAAGTCGTACTAATCGTAAAACCGAGAGTGTGTGTAACAACGTAAATTTCAAAACAAATTTTCACTTTTAAAGATATAATTTCATTCATAAATATTCTCAAATGTCAATGTATCACATATCAAATCCATAAAAACACATCCCAAGATCACAATGTATAAAACTCCAATAGTGTGTACTGATCATGTTGGCGCCTTCTCGCGATCCTCACTGGTACCTGAAACACATAACACATAACACTGTAAGCATAAATGCTTAGTGAGTTCCCCAAAATACCACATATAACACATATTAGCCACTCGAGGCTATAACTCTGTGGGCCCTCTGGCCGTAACTCTGTGGACCCTCTGGTCCTAACTCTGTGGACCTTCCGGTCCTAACTCTGGAATA